TGTGTGTGTGTGTGTGTGTGTAGACATACAGTATACTCTATATGAAAATATTTTCACATTGCATAAAAAATAAAGGGCTCGTTTAAATCAGTGACTGAGGGTGTGCTAGTAAAAATACCTACAAAATTCAGCATAAGTGCCATGTTTGTGCTGGGTGTGCATGGTGGCAGAAAATCTGAATGTTTACCCAGGATGTACAGAGTTTTTAAAAAACCCTGTGGGCATGAGAGTTTTGATCATGGTCCCTTTAATCAGTTTGTTCATACAAAACTGCTACAAAAATATTGAATGAAACAATAAACTGCCAATAAAGTGTTGCTAGACTGACAACTGAAACAGGAATTGTTACTGCCAATTTCCACAAAGTGGATGAGGATTTAAAGCATGTACATTCTCTTACGTTTAAGGGAAAAGGGGGTACATTCAATAATAGCTTACAGGAACTGTTAGAGCAATGAAGGTCAAATTTATATATGAAACGTGATGAGAGGTTTGAGGTCTCCTCACAGAAAAATATCAATATGAATTATAACGGCTCCCCTTTAACAATTTCTTAAATTCCCCCCAAAAAGAGGTAACTATGCACTGAGTAGCCAGCAACAGTTTCTGTAGTGTTAAACTAAAGCTGAAAGGACTGGCTTGCAGGGCAGTGTAAGCTACTCCACAGGGTTGGGAGCTCAGAGGTGAGAGAAGTGTGTCCTAAAGTGTAGTGTGCAGGATTGTCATTAAGCTGCTGGTTGGTTTTGTCTCAGTTGGCTGCCACATTTTTTTTAATCACCTCGTCCCTACACCTCAACGCTTATATCTGAATCATGCTATTTTAGCTAAAGAGCACTAGCCCTCTGTGGAGTCTGGAAAGCTGATTTCACTGCCAAAGACCTCCCTATAGAGAGGAGGAAATGTATATGCTGTCTCAGGATGAATCAGACAGAAAAACTCCAGTTTGTCAATGTGAAGGTTGCAAATTGACTTCATTATGGGAAGCTTAGACACCATCTGGATGGGACATACAGAAAAGGAGTCAAATTAAGTAAATAAATAAACTTATAAAGCTGTTTAACGGGTCAGCAGGTCAATATGGTTACTGAATTAGCACATCAGTGCAACAGGCTCTGTACCTTAGCTAGTTTTTCTTCTGGTGCTCCCTCTTTTTGTAGACACCGCTGCAGAGCCACATAGACTTTCTCCTGTAACTTGTGGATCTTTTGGACATCTGTCAGCCACATTCGGTCTGAAGGGAATGACAGAGATAAGATGGTATCATTCTGGAACTTTGACACTGACTCTAGGAAAGATTTATATTGTACAAATATCCATGACAAGAATACAAAATGTACTGAGCATTACACAAGTTGTGTCATATACTTTTGGTAAATAATTTTACATAACTGCTAACCATTTTTCAAAGCATATCTTAACTTTTTGATTGATTCCTTTGAGACAGCCATTGGCTGAACAGTGCAGAGACATGAAACTTTTGATGCCTTTTTTAAATATTATCATGGCACTGTAATGCAGTTTTAGGCAGGAACCATTTCAAACTTTACTTTGTCGCAGTTTGAAACTCAACATGTGGGACTGATGCTCCATAAAACACTGCCATAACAAGCTACATTGTTTCAGCTCTGCGTAAGCTCATTTTTGTACTCTGCTATAACAAATTGTGATTGATAACTTGATAACTTTTTAAAAAACTGCTCTTGGTGAGGGCCAACCTCTGATATGAAATTTTCAATGCTGAAACGTTGTCCGAGTAGCGAAAGTTGACGTTTTGTAACATCGGCAGGTAAAAAGGTGCAGCACCGTACATCCTACAAATTGAGCAGCTCATTTATCCTTTGTTAAGTTAGAGATGCAAATATATTCTGAGCCATTCTGCCTAAAATGTCTTTGGACTGCTGTTTCATCTTTGTAATGTTATCGTTCCCCTGTGTGAGGAGTAACATTAACATCACTGGTGCTGCCGTTTGTGCTAGTCCTTTCATGTTCCAGTGATTTTATGAGTGGGATCCATGTTGGTTGATGTAAATTTACGTTAACCAGTGGTCCATGTTTGCATGCTTTCATGTTCCCATCATTAAAACTTGACCGTATATGATAGAGACAAAGGCTGCAACAGCAGAGGGGACATATAGCTTTATATAGAGGGGGACATGCAGGTTGTTAAGTAGCATAGTTCAAATGGACGGAGACCAGCCCATCTGACACAAACGGCACCGTGCTGAGCCACACACACACACACTTTAACATTGCTGTAAATGTGTGGGAAGAATTTCCCGCATTGTAAAAGCTACATTTGCAGAACTCACTGAAATTATACGCAACACCCATAATCTCACACAGAAATTCAAGCCCTGTTATGCATGGATGAATAATTCAACATGAATAATCATGTTCTGACAACATATTATTTCTTTAGTTAAATTGTGTCAAAATGCTGGAAATGAACCAATTTGAAAGGAATGATGTTTCCTTTCTCTTTTTTAAGAGACCAACCCCTGTTATGATGTGTATTTGTGAAAAAGGGTTATGACATCATAAGCTTAGAGTATGTAGCTGGTAAAGAGACAATAGATAACATCTGATTACTTGTGTGTGTATGTTTTTACAGAGTAAGTGTGTGAAAAATAATGGTTGATTTAGTTTAAGTGTAAATATTCCAGTGAATCTGCAAGTCTGATACAGAACTTAATTTGCAACCCTGGCTGATACAGATAAATCAGTTGAGTGAGAGAAATGTGATCTCACCTGGTGAGAGCAGTACAGCAGCAGAGAAGAGAGCCATCTCTTCCTCAGACATCTGTATACGGCTCATGCTTTTCGCTAAGTCAAACACTGCATTCACAAGGTCATCACAGCCTAGGGAGATGGACAAGGAGGAAAATGGCCATCATCAGAACAGAAACTCACTGAAAGTTGACCTAAAATCCCCTGCCCATCCTTTCATCAAGTTTATGTTTCCCATGAGATAGAGAGAGAGAGAGAGATCAAAAAACATGTTGGCTCACCCAGTGCTTTGAAAAGCTGTGCAGTGGCAAACTTTCCATCAAAGAGCATTGTATTATTGATGGGGTTATAGGCCCTACACATTCGAATCAGAAGAACGTCCATGCAGCCTGTGAACACACACAAAAAAGAAAAAAAAAATCCAGAAAAAGGCTTAGCAGCATATTCACAGTCAAATAACTGCTGGGCTGAGGATAGAAAAAAAACATTCACACTTTAAAAATCCCTTCAAATGTAGGCCGTGTTCATGGGTGTACAAACAGGCACACACTTTTCCACTGTTCACTAATGAGTAAATATAAAGGAACAGTACAGCATAATCTAAACATTGTACTCCCCTTTGTTTTGTCATGAAAACTGCTAAATTGAACTAAAAGGAAAACCCTAAAAGTAGAAAAATGGACAACAGAGGGTACTTTTTCAATACTCAGCACTTGGAATATCATTGACAAGATAAATATATGTACTGCTGCAGGTTGGAGGAGGAAGACATTCAAGTTCCACTTAATTATATAAAGTAAAACACTCTTTAATGGCAAGGTAATTTCATATAATTTGCAGAAAGTATTAATGACAAAGAAACTGTCACCTCTGTATCTAAGGATGTGAACAATGTGATCAAGGCAGAGAATGAAAACTATCCTTAAGTCACTGGTTCATATCTGACATAGAAAACATCTATGCATGTGTAGCACTGTTGTTTTTAAATCAAGTCACTTTAGTGTTGCCAGTCTTGATTTTGTGTGTGTGGTAGATCTGACACAAGGTGTAATGTTCTTTGCACAGCCTCCATTCACCGTTATCTTTCTCCACCCTTCAGTGGTTAGTCACGTTAGTCAGCTCATGTGTGTGGAAATCTTTCGTATCGCATTAAAACATCTAATTAGTCTAATTAAATGCCTTGTGAGAAAAACTGTGTGCACTCACATGAATTTAAAAATTCAAAGATCCGATACTTTATAGTATTGTAATAAGAGAAGTTGTGTGATTTAAACAAGGCCGACCACTATTCAGAAACAGGACACCATGCACCTTTTCAAGTCTCTCTGCTGCATGTGATATTTGACCTCTGTGAACTCAGCTACAACTTGAGGGAAATACATGGATCATATGACAACAGCTATCTCTGTCACAACTAATAGTCTGCAAGAACTCCTGACTGTTATTTGGCTAAACAACAATATACAGAACAGCTTTTAGCACAGAGGGCATATTTATGGTGTCATGCACTGACCTGCTTTGAGGAGGATTATCTGATCATTCTGACAGAGGTCCATGAAGCCAGAGATGCGCTTGGCAAACTCTACCACATACTGGATTGCATTGGTGATGTGAATGGCACATTGTTGCCACATCATCTCAGCTGACTAAAACAGAAAGCAAAGCACAGAAAGGCTTTTAAGTCATATTCCATTGTTCTCTGTTGACTATCATTATTTAGATATCAAGGATCACCTGGTTATGTGATCTGATTTCTGCTAAAGATGTCTTAACCTACAGGATGTTTGGTAACATTTTCTATATCTTCTCTTAGTGTTATGGTCTCAAACCTTGACTAGTAAGAGAGAAAACTGAGAAGGAAATGTACATGATAGAAAATGTCTGAATTTAAGAATGTAAGCACAAAGTATGGTGATAAGAAGGAAGCACTTCTGTTTTTTTAAGATGTTTGTCTCTAGAAAAATTTCTGTTTGTTATTTATATAAGGTTAAAAACTGAAAATAGTGCTCTCTGAACCTTGTACAAAAAACCACAAGGTAGGATGACCCAAAGTATAGTGATATGATGTGCTTGCTAAAGTTCTCTGCTTATATATTTAAACTTTAAAGAGCAGTTCATAATATATTTTACTTAAAGTTCAAAGAGCTAGGTGGTGCACAGATTTTCTAGGTCTCAGTTATTAAAATGTGTATGAGGTTCTACTGTTACATATACAGTACCTTGGTTTCGTATGAGTGTGTCTCCTCTGGAGTATACAAGGTCCACATCATTCTCTTCAGCTCCTCTGTGCTGTACTGGCTTGTTTCAATATGGGACCTCACCACACTCTGAGTTATGCGCTCTGAGCAGAGGAAAACATTTGTCACTTCTCTTGGAAGAGCACTTTCTTATTCAAAAATTATGGTTTTTCACTGTTATAGCATGTTATGAGAAGTACTGTTACATTTCAGATGGATATAAGGTTCAAGGGTTTCTGGAATGATACTGACCTATCTCAAGCAGGGAGCAGCTGTCGGGCAGCGGGTTGAGGATAGCATGTGAGAAAAGCCCGGATTCCTGGAACAGCTGGTATTCGTGCTTGATACTGTGGTTGCTGTCTACAAAATCCAAGTTGGTCTGTTCTGGTGAGCTCTGAGAAGACGAGCTGCTGCCTGTACTGCCACCCAGCATGTCTAGGTTACAGTACTCTCCACTTGTATCCTCTGGGGTCAGCGGCAGGTCGAAAAGCAGGCCTTCTGGCAGCGTGGTGATGTCGTCTAGGTCGCTGAGCGTGGTGATGGAGCCTCTTCTGTATGTGTGGATATGGTCAGCCATGTCACTGTTCTCCTCATGTGCACCGACCCCCACAGACTCCTGGGACTGCTGGTGCTTCTGGACCTCTGCATACAGGCTGTCGCGCTGCTTTTTGGACATTCGACCAAACTTCACCGCTGTAAGAGGAGGGTGTAAAGGCAAATAAATTCAAGTAGGTATGGTCCAAATCAAACAAAGATTACATGAATCATTTATTGCAATAAGCAAAAAGCAGGGGTGGAAGCTATGAGTTAATTAAATATAAATCGAGTCACTGAACTCACCATCACGACTCATGCCCAGAGCGAGACACTTCTGCAGCCTGCAGTGCTGACAGCGATTTCGGCTCGTCCGATCAATTAGACAGTTTCTTTGACGTGAGCAGGAGTACATTGCATTGTTCTGCTGGCTGCGTCGAAAAAAACCCTACAGACAAAGACACACAAAATGTGAGTCAATGCATAATGTGAGCAGCTAAATGCTTGACTCACACCATAAACACACTTTAAAGCTCGTGGACACTTGTTTTCACTTCTCTACTGAGGGTGGGGATGATTTGATAACTCACCTTGCAGCCTTCACAGGTAATGACACCATAGTGAATCCCTGATGATTTGTCCCCACAGATTTTACAGGGAATAACCTCTATTTGAGCTGGTGAGAGAGAAGAATGAAGAAACACTCACTGGAACAGTAAAATACATGTGAATAGATACAGATAATTAGATGTCTCAAAAGGCAAATTGGCTTAATTATGCAGTTAATTATCCAGAGACAAATAAATAAATATGGATATGTTGAGAAAGAATATGCTTTAATACTAACTACTATTGTTGCATAATGATAGTCACAAGACTGTGTCTTTCATTTTGCATAATGATCTGGAGCAGAAATGATTAGCTGATTAATCAATCAAGAAAAAATTAGTCTTGTTCCAGTTTTTGCCCTGTAATGATTTTTATATCAAAGTAAACTGTATATCTTGGGAGTTTGAATTAATAGTCAGATATAACAAGCCATTTTAAAACATGAGCTTAAGTTTTGGGAAACTATGATGGTCATTTTTCTTTATTTTCTGACATTTTACAGACAGAACAGCTAATCAATTAACTGAGAAAATAATCTGAAGATTTATTGTTAATAAAAATAATTAATTGCAGCCCCACTGTCCTGCAAGGATTAACAGCATGTAAAGAGATTTTACCCTATTGCACTTGTTATGCAATAGCCAGCAATATGCACAGAAAACCCAGTCCAAAGGTGTGTACAAGGTAAACATACACTGATCAGGCATAACATCATGACCACCTGCCTAATACTGTTTACATAGGAGTCAATGCGGCAGTTGGTTGGCACTTGTGTCACTCTGCAGCTCACTGTGCATCTTCTGTGAATCCATTTGCTTCCACAGTTCTACTGTCAGGAAGAACTCAGACGTGTCTACAATTCAGTGAAAAACTTTTGTAAAAGGAGAGAAAACTGTGGTCGTGCGGACGAGTTATGACAGAATTTTTTTTTTTGAGGAAGATTAATTTATTCTCCTTCACCATCTTTTTTTCTTTTTAATTGAAACAAAGTAACACATTAACAAAACAGTACCAAACATGGGAGACAAGACAACAGATACATGACATTACAAAAGGATATAGAGTGTTTAACAAGGTTGTAGTGTGTGAAGTGTGGGTATTTCCAACTTGTGCAGTCTATGAAATGCAAGAAAGGGAAAAGGAGGGGAAGTAAATAAATAAATTACCAACAACAATGATAACAGTACTACTAATACAATCAACTGGTTACATTTTTGAGGTTGGTGGGAACGTGCATGGCCTCAGCCTCAGGTGTTTGGTTCAAGTTTAAATGTGTTAGAAATGGGTTCCATGTGTCATAAAAAGCTGATAAACTATTCTTGTGAGTGGATTTCATTTTCTCTAATGTGATGTATTCTATCAGAAGGTTGGTCCAGTGGTTTATGTGTAGTGATTTTTTTGATTTCCAGTTTTGAAAGATTGTTTTCTTGGCAATAGCTAGAGAAATGAAGAGTGGGTTTTTGTATTTAATTGGAAGGTGGTTAATGTCTGTGATATTACCAAGCAAGCAAAGTGATGGAGAAGGAGGGATTCTACAGCCCAAGATGGTGGAGAGAGTTTCTCTGTCACTGCTATCCAGAGGGAATGAACTGGTTGGCAGGTCCAAGTAGCATGAAAGTAACTGTTGGTGCAGCCTAGAGTGCATTGTGAGTAGATGTCTGTGTCAGTGAAACCCATTTTGAACATTTTACTTTCTGTAATATGGGTCCTGTAAATGGTCTTGTATTGTATAAGTTGTAAGTTTGCATTGGTGGTCATAGAAAAGATGCTACTGCAACTTTCTGTCCAGAAGTCGGAGCTGAGGGGGAGAGTTAAATCATTTTCCCATTTGAGCTTTGATATTGTTATTGTTGAGTCTGTATTTGATATGAGTTTATATAGCTTGGATATTATTTTCTTGGAATCTGTAATTTTCATAATTTCTTCAATTAATCTGGAGGGTTGTAGTTGGTTATTGGTTACACTAATCTTTGACTTAATTATGGATTTTAGTTGATTGTACTGGAGAAACTGTTCTCTCTGGACTCCGTACTGCTGGATCAGTGTATTAAATGATATGAACTGGTTATTTTTAAATAGGTGATGTAAGTGAGTGATTCCTTTGTGTTGCCATGCCATAAAGCTTAAAGAATGACTGTATATAATGGTATTCATTTTCTGAACAGAGTTTGGTAGAGAGAATCTTTTAGACAAATTCAACAGCCTCACCACTCTGTGTGATATCACCACTACAGCCCCTGACTCTTTCTCTTCATAGAGACCAATGGACAGTATTTCTCATTTTCAACCATTTTAACAAAGA